AAATTCTTTCTAATATGCAACCTAAACCTCCCCTGGCACAGCTCAAGACTGAGCCCTCTTGTCTTGCTGAGAGTTGCCTGGGAGAAGAGACAAACCTGACTCCCCCCTCCCGTCAGAGAGTTGTAGAGAGTGAGGAGGTCTCCCCTGAGCCTCCTCTTAATGTAAAAAAAAAAAATACTAGTATTAAAAAGAGGGTTAATTCTCTAAGAACATGGATTGCAGTGAGTCTGTCCCTTCAGAGAACTGATTTCATTTATATCACTTTATACCAAAACAATTTTTATTTAATGTCAAAAAATACTAATACTCACCCCAATCCCCAGGTTGGCCGCCCCACCGGACGCTGCGGGGCCACCGGAACAAGGTGACGTGCCTGCTGTACCCTCACCAGGTGTCCTCCCGCTACGACCAGCGCTTCCTGGTCTCGGGAGGGGTGGACTTCTCCGTCATCGTCTGGGACATCTTCTCGGGGGAGATGAAGCACATCTTCTGCGTGCACGGCGGCGAGATCACCCAGCTCCTCGTGCCGCCCGACAACTGCAGCGTGAGTGGGGAGTGGAGGATGGAACGCTCGAGGTGGAGCCGGGGCTTGGAAGGGCTGACGTAAAAGGTCTTAAAAATAAAAAAAAAAAAAAAAAGGAAGAGCTTAATTATTATGCTGTTGTCGTTATTATAGTAATAGGAATAATAATGTAGTGTGCACATAAAATATAATATATCAGGTGTTTTATTGTGTGTGTTAAGTTATATAGTATTATATCTAGTATGTAGTGTGTATGTATAGTATATATAGCATATATACGTATATATAGTATCTATATATATAGTATATATAGCATATATATGTATATATAGTATCTATATATATAGTATATATAGCATATATATGCATATATAGTATCTATATACATATATATAGTATTTATAGCATACATATGCATATATAGTATCTATATACATATATATAGTATATATAGCATGTATATGCATATATAGTATCTATATATATAATGTACGTATAATATATGTTATCTGTGTACAATTACATGCATTATACATCACTATATATTATCTTATTGTTATACATTTCTATGTTATCTTAAAACCAGCTTAATTCTGGTTTTTATGGCTTTGTTCTCCTCATGTTTTAATTACATCAAGGATTTAAAATATTGCCAAGGGTAAATTTCCAAGGCAATTTTGCCTTGTGTAACGTGGCTGAGTAAGTACAATTTCATGAACAAAACGACATTAATTGCTTGGAAACCACCTTTTGTCTGATTTTGCTCACCGTGGAAAAGGTTCTAATACCAACAGTCTCCGCATTATGATTAAGATAACTTTTTGAAATTTTTTTTTGATTTAGGCCCGAGTGCAGCACTGCGTCTGCTCCGTCGCCAGCGACCACTCGGTGGGCCTGCTGAGCCTGCGGGAGAAGAAGTGCATCATGCTGGCCTCCCGCCACCTCTTCCCTATCCAGGTCATCAAGTGGAGACCCGCCGACGACTACCTGGTGGTGGGCTGCTCCGACGGCTCCGTGTACGTCTGGCAGATGGACACCGGTGAGCTCCTGCACGCCCGGAATCCAGCCTTGATCCGGGCAAATCTAGATTGGCCGAGGGTTCCGAGGGCGGAGTTAAAGCCGGGGGATGACACTGGGCTGGATGACACCAAGCTGGGGGGGGTGTTGATGAGCTGGAGGGCAGGAGGGCTCTGCAGAGGGACCTGGACAGGCTGGAGAGTTGGGCTGATTCCAGCGGGATGAGGTTCAAGCAGGCCAAGTGCTGGGTCCTGCACTTTGGCCACAACAACCCCTGGCAGCACTACAGGCTGGGACAGAGTGGCTGGAGAGCAGCCAGGCAGGAAGGGAGCTGGGAGTGGGGATGGACAGGAAGCTGAACAGGAGCCAGAGTGTGCCCAGGTGGCCAAGAAGGCCAATGGATCCTGGCCTGGCTCAGGAACAGTGTGGCCAACAGGTCCAGGGAAGTGATTCTGCCCCTGGACTCAGCACTGGTGAGGCCACCCCTGGAGTGCTGTGTCCAGTTCTGGGCCCTCAGCTCAGGAAGGGCATGGAGGGGCTGGAGCAGGTCCAGAGAAGAGCAACAAGGCTGGGGAAGGGACTGGAGCACAAGTGCTGTGAGGAGGGGCTGAGGGAGCTGTTTCTTCTATTCAAATGTCTCCTTTATCTTACTGCATCTTAATTTATTACCTCGAGGCCTATTATATGTTTCTTTTACCATCCTCTTACATTTTGGTCCAGTAGGTAGAACAGAACGAGCGCAGATCGTTTAGATGTTCCAAGATCGTTAGCAGGCCCCAAATTTCTCAGTTAACTCTTTTGGGCCTGGCCTCCTGTTTCACCCAGGCTCTCCCAAACCCCCCCTGCAGGCGCCCTGGACCGGTGCGTGATGGGCATCACGGCGGTGGAGATCCTGAACGCCTGTGACGAGGCCGTGCCCGCCGCCGTGGACGCCCTCAGCCACCCCGCCGTCAACCTGAAGCAGGCCATGACCCGCCGCAGCCTGGCCGCCCTCAAGAACGTGGCCCACCAGAAGCTGCAGACCTTGGCCACCAACCTCCTGGCTTCCGAGGCCTCCGATAAGGTCAGTTGGCTTTTGGGGCAGCACCTAGGGCGTCCATTCCCCAAAGGAATAAAACCTGGGAAGTGTCTGTTGTTGTAACTGGAAGTCTCTGTCATTAGAACTGGAAGATCCCCAGGCACTCCACCTCTGCCCTTTCCATGAGGGAATATTCCCAATATCCAGCCTAAACTTTGAGGCCGCTCCGTTCCCAGCCTCTCCCATTTATCCCTTTTTTTTTTTTCCTTCTGCTGTTATGTCCTGCTTGGAAAGAAATGTCCCTTAGTGAGAACCTTCCTTAGGAACACCAGCACCATCCTAATTCCATAAAAACACGTGAGCTCAGCCTTGGGTGCTGCTATTCCTTCTGGTTTCCAGTCTCCTTTCGTGACTTTTTTCAGCTTTTATCTCCTCTTCCCTTTTTTTTTTTCCTGCCTTGGGAGGAAGGGAAGGAGGAAGAAGATGGACTTAAGGAGTGGAATGACCCACAAGTGGTGTCTGGGTGAATCTGAGGAGCTTCTTCTCCGACAGCATGAATTGATTCTGTAGTTCAGTCTCCAAACCTGAAATATTTCATGTGGTTTAATAATAATGACAAAAGCTTGGATTTTTGTTGTTCCTTGGAATGTGACTGATCTTGTGGAATCCAGGAGAAGGAAATGTGAACTCATGTCTTCCCTGGAGAACTTTTATTTATCCATAAATGTCTGTGAGTTGAATTTCTGTGTTTTGAGGGTTTCTCCGTAGAAATTTCCATTTGTTCCCTTGTTTTTTTCCAGGGGAATTTACCCAAATACTCCCACAATTCCCTGATGGTCCAGGCCATCAAGACCAACCTGACGGACCCCGACATCCACGTGCTGTTCTTCGACGTGGAGGCCCTGATCATCCAGCTGCTGACGGAGGAGGCGTCCCGGCCCAACGCCGCCCTCGTCTCCCCGGAGAACCTCCAGAAAGCCTCCGGCGCCTCCGACAAGGGCGGCTCCTTCCTGGCCGGCAAACGGGCGGCCGTGCTCTTCCAGCAGGTCAAGGAGACCATCAAGGAGAACATCAAGGAGCACCTGCTGGACGACGAGGACGACGAGGACGACGCGCTGAGGCAGAGGAGGGAAGACGGCGACCCGGAATATCGCGCCAGCAAATCCAAACCGCTCACCCTGCTGGAGTACAACCTGACCATGGACACGGCCAAGCTCTTCATGTCCTGCCTGCACGCCTGGGGCCTCAACTCCGGGCTGGATGAGCTGTGCCTGGAGCGCCTGGGAATGCTGAAGCCTCACTGCTCCGTGTCCTTCGGCCTCGTGTCCAGAGGAGGCCACATGTCCCTGATGCTGCCCGGCTACAACCGGCCCGTGGGCGGAGCGGGCGGGGAGCCGGGCGGGAAGGTGTCCGGCGCCGAGGGGCCGGGCAAGGGCACCTACGGCGTGTCCCGCGCCGTCACCACCCAGCACCTGCTCTCCGTCATCTCCTTGGCCAACACCCTGATGAGCATGACCAACGCCACCTTCATCGGCGACCACATGAAGAAAGGGCCCACCAGGTGGGATTTAACATCTTCTTTTGGGTGGTTTTGGGTATATTTTGTGTGTTGGGTGTGTTTTCCATCAGGAACCCTTTGCTGTGTCTCCCCATGGGTGTTTTGTGTTTGTCTCTCCATGGATATTTTGTGTTTAGGCCGCCCAGACCCGGCACCCCCGAGCTGGCCAGAGCGAAGCCACCACCCCCTCCCGTTTCCAGCCAAGGACAAATTAAACAAGGTAAAATATCCCATTCTTTGGAACCTTTGGATCCATCATTCCAGCTCCTGACACACCAGATTTATCACCTGGTTATTGAGCATCAAAATACTACATGGGAGGAAAAGGCAGTGCAATGTAATATTAAAAAAGCAGTGTAATAGTGTGATATCCACCTAGATAAAATTATTAATAATATCCACCTAGATAAAATTATTAACAATTAAGACCTTTTTAAGAATCATTCCCAGGTGCTGGTTCTGCCACGAAGTCATTCCCTGCCAGGGAATTTTTGCCACTTTATTCCCAGGGATTTTTTATCTTTCCCAAATATCCAAGTCTCTCTTACTGTCTCTTCAGCTGCATGTCTACCTCTCACTTCTTGGAAAACCTGGAATTCTCGTTCAGTTGACCATTGTTTTTTCAGTTTAATATTATTTTTCAAGTTGAATATGAAATTTTTCAGTTGAATATTTTAAGTTGCACCTTCTCCTTCAGTTGGAATATTTAAGTTGAAGGTTCTTTCCCTTCTCCAGCGATTACTAACCCATTTTTCTGCTGCTTTTCCTCACTTGCCTCTCTTTTTTTTATCTCTTTTTTATTCCTCCTTTTGCTCTGCAAGTTGCTCCTGCTGCTGCTTCTAACCTGGAATCTGGGCACTCTGACACTGCTCCTCCTTTACATTCCTGTTTCTTAGTCAATGAAGGTATTCCTTCCTCACTTTTTCTATTTATCCTTTCAGCTAAAATCCTTTATCGCTGCTGGGACACTTTAATTTGATTTATAAAGGAGTTTTCCTTTGCCAGGGGGGTGGGTTGGCTCTTTCTCTTAGCAAACAAACCAAAGAAACTCAAGTTTCCCCTCATTTAAATCTGATTTCTGGTGTTTTTTAGGAAGACTTGGGATGTATTTAAACTACTTGGGGTCGGTGCTGGAGATCAATTTGATCTGATAAATATTTATTGCCATTGTGAGAAACATCTTCCTGCACAAACACCCTGTGGGCAAGTTGCTTTAAATCTGAATTTTTATCACTGGTGTATAAATTCCTGCTTCCACACATCTCTTAAACTGGAAATTCCTCCTTTGAATCCTTTTTTTCAAAGGAAAATTGATAGAATTGCTTTAGCACCGTGGTGAAAAAATTCACATTTTTGTGCCCAAGAAATTAAAAATTGCTGAGAAATTAAAACTTGTAGATTTGTATGTTCACCCGAGGTATTTTTCAAGTCAGTGGCTATAATATTAAATCTCTCTTAATCCCTTACTAAATAATTGTTGCCCGTGGAATATTTCCCAAGCACTTGTGCAGTTGGAGCTCCGGATGTTTCTGCAGGCCCGGAGTAGGAATTCGCCCGGGGTCAAATCAGATTGAGGTGGAAACCCCAGGAAAGTCAGGACAGAAAATTCCATGTAATCCTTAAAGGGATAATAATTCCTGAGGTTGCTGTCATTTCTTTATAATTTAATTATAATTTATGTATAATTTATTTATGTTGGTGCTCCAGGGATAGGTCAATTCGCGTGCCGCTCGGCTTGCTCCGGTCGCTCCCATCCCTCTTCCCGCTGTTTTCCAGGCTGGAGCCAGCTGGCAGCCATGCACTGTGTGATGCTCCCGGACCTGCTGGGCCTGGAAAAATTCCGCCCCCCTCTCCTGGAGATGCTGGCGCGCCGCTGGCAGGACCGATGCTTGGAGGTCGGTCCCGCGCCGCCTTTCCCGGCTCCGGCTTTTCCTTCCCTTTGATGAAACGATTCTTTCCCGCCCCCGAGTCTTCCAGTCGGGATTTCTGGTGGGACAAGGGGAGTTTTTGCCACCCCTGCAGGTGCGGGAGGCGGCGCAGGCGCTTCTCCTGGCCGAGCTGCGGCGCATCGAGCAGGCGGGACGCAAGGAGACCATCGACGCCTGGGCCCCCTACCTGCCCCAGTACATGGACAGCGTCATCTCCCGTAAGGAATGCCGGGAAAACCTGCCAGAAGACAGGGAGAACAGGGGGAAGAGCCCCTGGGAATCCACAATTATTCAGGATATTCAAATATATCAGCCCGTTCCGGGGGGTCGGAGCGACTCTGGCCAAAGCCGTCCCTCGACGGGCTCCGGGTTTGGAGTTTTCAGGGGTAAAAAAAACAGTAAAAAATGGATATTTTCCTCTCTTTTAACCCCAAAGTGCTTATTTTTCCTGAAATCGGCTTTTTTTCCTGCTGGAAAAGGCACTGGGAATCCAGAATTATTCATAATCAGGTCATTCCGGGCGATCGGAGCAACTCTGGCTCCTTCAACAGGCCTCCAGGTTTGGAATTTTCAGGGGGGAAAAAAACCAGGAAAAATGGGTATCTTCCTCTCTTTTAACCCCAAAGTGCTTATTTTTCCTGAAATGAGCTTTTTTTTCCCCACTGGAAAAAAAAAAATCTTGGTTAAATCCAAATTGATTTGGGAAATCAGTTCTCTAAAGGAACAGACTCCCTGCAATCCACATTCTTAGGGAATTAACTCTATTTTTAATATTAGCATTTTTGACATGAAATAAAAATCATTTTGGTGAAAAGTGATATAAATGAAATCAGTTCTCTAAAGGAACAGACTCACTGCAATCCACATTCTTAGGGAATTAACTCTATTTTTAATATTAGCATTTTTGACATGACATAAAAATCATTTTGGTATAAAGTTCTACAAATGTTATCCCATGTGATTTATTATAAATTTCCGGGTGTTATTCCCATTTTTTTTTTTGAACTCAGAGAAGTCAGATATTTCAGCAGGTGGTATTTTAATAATTCCACTAATATTAGGGAATATAACTGGGAGTATAATATATCTCTGTCATTTCCCATTTCAGGGAATACAACTGGGAATTTCTTGATTTTTGGTCTTTCCCTGCAGCTGGAGTGCCCACAGAAGCTGCTCAGACTGGCACTGCCAGCCCAGAATCCGTGGGCACAGAGGGCAAAGTGCAGGAGGAGGAGCAGGACCTGGGGGACGACGACATCGCGGCAGGTGAGCCTTTTNATGGCTTTGGAGCCCCTAAATCGTCCCACAACCCACGTTCAGCTCATAGTTCTTGAGGAATAATGACTTTATTCTGATTTTTTACATCATATCCTGCTGGTGGCTCTTAGGGAGTCTGTCTTCAAATGCTCCTTTTAATTGCTGAAGTCATTTTAAATTCATTCCTGAAGTGATTTATTCTATTTTTCTGTGCATTATTCCCTTTTTTTTTTTTTTACTTGGACAAGTCAGATATTTCAGCAGATGGTATGTTAATAGTTCCAATAATATTAATTTTTACAGATATTTCAGCAGGTGGTATTTTAATAATTTCAATAATATTAGGGAATATAACTTGGAACATAATATATTAATATCATTTCCTATTTCAGGGAACAGAACTGGGAATATAATAAATATATTTATATAATTTATAATTTGAAATCCAGGCTGGATTTTTCCTTTGGGAAGCAGCCCAAGGTGAGGGATTATGGGAACAGCACAAAGAAAAATGGGAAAAAAATGAGAATTATTAGATTTTAGAATTCCCAGACACAGGCTTCTTAACTCCCTGCATTGCCAGCTTTCTGGGTGTCTCCAGGAGGGCAGAAATTCCCAAAATTCCCGCTGCTTTTGGCCCTTCCAGGCAGGAATTTCAGCTCCCAAAGCTCCTCCCGTGCTGGGCCAGCAGAGGGAGCTGTGGCTGCAGGAATGGCTGCACTTCCAAGCGTTCCCAATCCTCTGCCAGCAGGAGGTTTGGGAATGAGGAACCACAGGTTGGATCCAACGTTTTCCCTCTTTTCCTGCCTTTTCCTCCTCACAGTTCCTGGGATTTCTGGCTCCTGACTTCTCTGGAGCGAGTCCTCTGTGCTCAGCAAATCATTTATCCCCTTTATCCATTCGAACTCTGCATTTCCAATATCCCTGTATTCCCATAATACCATGGAATGCTGGGACTAAATCCCAGCTATTCCTGTATTTCCATAATACTATGGAATGCTGGGACTAAATCCCAGCTATCCCTGTATTCCCATAATACTGTGGAATGCTGGGACTAAATCCCAGTGGGAATTAGGGGGTGGAACCCCAACCCTGAGCTGGGTGGGGTCGGTCCCGCTCTCCGGGACTCTCCGTGCCAGTGGCCACGGCCATGGTTTTGTTGGATCAGGATCTCCAGGGCTTGGATTTGATGTTCCATAGGGATTTCTGGATCTCCTCCGAGCTGGAGTAGCTACTCCAGCCTGGGAATACTCCGAGTTTGCACCTGCTTGGAAAATAGAAAGCCCCTCCCATAAAACCGCTCCGTGCCTTAATTCCAATCCAGTGATTCCTCTTAATTCCAATCCATTGATTCCTCTTCCAGTTAAAACCTGGAGAACTGCATTTAATCCTTTTATTCTAAGCTGGGCTGAAATTAATTTTCCCTCCAAAGTGGGCAAAGCCAATTAACGGGAGTTAATTGGAGGGAAGCGGCCTGACCTCGTGGCCGTGCTTCCAACATCCCACGGCCTCCTAAACCTGAGAAACTTGGGAATATTTCACCTCCATCTCCAGCATTTTGTCCTGTCTTTGTGCTGTCTGCTCTGAGCGGTCCTGGGGGTTTATTTCCATATTTGGGAATATTCAGGATGATATTTGGGAGCGTGCACACACCCTCCACCCGAAGTGGGGATTTTTCCACCTCAAATCCCGAAGGTTTTCATCCTTCTTTTTTTGTTTGTTTGTTTTCCAGCCAGGCCTCTTGGAGGTTATTAATTTTGTCCCACTGATAGGGTGATCAACCGTCCTGTCGGGAAAATGGATCTGCCTGTCAGCCCCGGCCGTGATTAAAGGCAGCGGCGGCGCGGGGACAAAATACCAAATTCTTCCATTCTTCCAGGCATTATTCCGGTGGAAGAATCTCCCAAAGGCCCCCCTGGCACCTTAGCTGGGGGGAAACCGTTCCCATCAATTGGAATTAAAACCAAAAAAAATAAAAATATCAGGGAGGATTTTTTTCCCCCCCTTTATTAAGTGGTTTTACTCCCATCCGGAGCTTTGCTTGAGTTTGGGGTCGGTTGGGTTTTAATTTCTGGGATTTGTGGATTCCCAGGAGTTGGGTTTTGTCCAAATCCTGTCAGTGCAGATTCTGTGGCCCGGAGAGGTCGTGGATTCCCCATCCCTGGAAGCATCCAGGGCCGGGTTGGACAAGCCTTGGAGCAACCTGGGCTAGTGGGAAGTGTCCCTGCCTGCGATCCCTTCCCACCCAAACCGTGCCATGATTCTGGGAGGACGCTCCCAAATCCCTGCTCCGGGTTCTCCGAAGGGTTAACTCCATCTCAACCGAGCCATGGCAGGGGTTTAATTTCCTACTGGAAGCAGCACATGTGTTGGCTTTTCCTTTCATTCCCATCGATCCGCATCCCACCGCCCCTGCTCCCGCAGCTGCTCCGCTCCCGCCGCCGCCGCTCCGCGTTAGGGCACGGATCCGTGGATCCAGGGATCCGGAACCGGGGCTGCACGAGCTTGGATCCCATTCTGGATCTGGGAACTCCCATCCCAGGGAATGGGGCCCTCTCTGTCCAGGTGGAACAGCCCAATGTCAACGAGAACCCGGGATAAACCTCCGGTGGACAATTCCAACCCTTCCCTTCCCTGCTTTGTTCCAGCCCCTTTTCATCCTTCTTCTTCTCCTTCTCCTTCTTCCGAAGGCGGTCGCTATTGATTTTTTTCCTTTCCTTTTTTTTTTCCCCCTCACCCTTCCCATTGTTAAGCTTTCCCTTGTTTTTTTTTCCTCTCCCTTTTGGCTGAGCACAGCTCCCAAAATTCGGTTCAGTTCCTTGTTTTCTTGTGGATATCATTAACCCTCATTAATTCCCCCTTCATTAGTCCCCGAGCCCGATGAGCCTCATCCCAGGCCAGGTGGTGCCTCCCAACTCCTCAGCACCCAGGAAGGATTCAAACTTCCTTATTTTTTTACAACATAGGGTAGGGAATTTCTTAGGATGCTGGGAATTAATAGAGGTAATTAATTAATTAATACAGGTAGAAGTGAGCTTTCTTTATCAGAATAAATGACTTGGGTGGTTTCATTCCAATCATTTCTTCTAAGATTTTGGGATATTATTAAAAAGAAAAAAAAACTAACTTCCTCTGCTTAGTGGAATTCAGAATCCCTGGGCTGTATTAAACTAATGACCCGTATTTCATTTTATTTAAAATTCCTAATTATGATGTTTGAAAGTCCCATCTATAACATATCACTCTATAAAAATACCCATTTGGTTTAATGGCATGTGGTGTTATCCTAAAATTTAGCAGCAAGTTGGATGTGATGATGGATCCTAAACCAAAAGGATGCCGAGGAACTATCCTGAAAAAAATCCATCTTCTTTTAAAACCAAAGGAAAATTGCATCTGAAGTGAACAAGAACAATCACTAGACAAAGACAAAATTCCACGCTGAGCAAACAAAACTCAGCAGTTTCCTGGTGGATTTTTTGTCCCTGTGGAGGCAGGTTTGGAAGGGGATATTTATTAGATTTATTAGAATTAAAACGGAATCACATCCACGCCTAAAAATCCTGGTGCGGTTGAAGTTCTTTATTCCTGTATTTTCTTTGGGAAGCACCGCTTGGAATGTTCTTTGTGCTTTTAGGGTGTCTCTCGGGCCTCCCCCAGCCCAAGAAGGTCTCCACGTCCTACGAGGAGCGGCGCAAACAGGCCACGGCCATCGTCCTGCTGGGGGTCATCGGGGCCGAGTTCGGCGCCGAGATCGAGCCCCCCAAACTCCTGACCCGGCCCCGCAGCTCCAGCCAGATTCCCGAGGGATTCGGCCTCACCAGCGGCGGATCCAACTATTCCTTGGCCAGGCACACGTGTGAGTACCCCCAGCTGCAAACTCCTTCCTTGACATTCCCTTTTTCCCCCCCGGGAAAGGGGAAGGTCGGGAATCGGGAATGCGCGGGAAGAGGTTGCCGAGGAATCGGTGCTGCTGGAATTCTGGCAGCCTTTATTCTTATTTATTAAGAGCACTTGAACTGCATTTATTCAATTTATCCTGGAATAACCAGGAGCAGGAACACCTTCCCCAAGCCCTGTCCAACCTGGCCTGCAGCACTTCCAAGGATGGGGAAATCTATAAAATACAGGATATTCCTCCCTGTTCCAGTGGCATGGAATTCTGATTGTGCCTTTGGGAGAGGGTGGAACCCTCTAGAAATCCCCACCTGCACCTGCATCAATCCCTGCTTCCCTCACCGCTCGTTCCCACAGCTATTCCAGGAATAAAAAATGCCACCCCAGGAATGCCCCACGTGGCTTTAGCAACAAAATCAAATCCTGGAAATTATATCCTTTTTTCCCATTATTTCCCTCTTGAATTATATATGTATATATATTATATATATATATTATATATTTTTTTAATTCTATATAATTTTTTTTCATACTTAATACTCTGAATTCTGTGAAAATCCCAGAGTTGATGTGGATTGGGAGGGATTTTAAGGATCATCCCATTCCAGCAGGGATACCTTCCACTAGCCCAGATTGCTCCAACCTGGCCCGGAATATTTCCCAGTTGGAAAAATTGTGATCTGATCCTCGTCATGTCTTTAGAAAAAAAATCCTTTTAATTGAGGCCTAAAAATATCCCGATTTTTACACCCCAGAGAAGATCTGGGATGAAAAATTCCCCGGGCCAGGAGCAGGAAAAGCTGAAGGGATCTGGATTTTTGGACCCAGCTTTGGGTTTTGGTTCTTGGTGACTTTTTCTCTCGGGATATTAACGGGAAGCGGCGAAGCTCCGGGAACGCTCCCCGGCCCCGCTCCGCCGAGCTTTTCCAGGGAGCTTTTCCGGGGCTAATTACCTCGTGGCCGCGCCGCCTCTAATGTGACATGTTTATTGCCCTAACGAACAACTCATTAGCCGCCCTGATGTTTTTGTCAATATTAATTCCTGCGCTTAAGCCAAGGCAAAGCTTTTAAACAAAGATGTCCTGGCTGCGGATTGGGCAGGATTGGCTTCATCCAGCGGGATTCCCGGGGAAAAGCCGGGAATGTTTCATCGGGGTAACGGTTGAGGAGCCACTGTTAGAGCTGGGGCATAACACTGACACTTTTGGGTGGTGTTGGTGTGAGTCACCAGGAAAACGTGAGGTTTGTTTATTAAACCAAACAAGCAAGGAAAACCTGATAAAATCAGTAATTACCTTTATCAGGAGGTAAAAAATAACGACGAGGGGATAATAACAAACTGCCCGCGTTGGGAAGCGTCGCTCCTACGCGTACATAATTAATTTTATTCAGTGAAATGAAATATTAATAACGTTCCCTCAATATGCAGCACTTGGATTGGGATTTGGGATTGCTGGGGACTGTTTGGGATGTGGTTCCTCCCCCCAGGCAAGGCGCTGACGTTCCTGCTGCTGCAGCCGCCCAGCGCCCGGCTGCCGGCGCACTCCACCATCCGCCGCACCGCCATCGACCTCATCGGCCGCGGCTTCACCGTCTGGGAGCCCTACATGGACGTGTCCGCCGTGCTCATGGGGCTGCTGGAGCTCTGCGCCGACGCCGAGAAGCAGCTGGCCAAGTGGGTACCACCGGCACTTCCCAGTCCCGTTCCCATTCCCATCCTCGGGTCCTGGGGCCGAGGAGGGCAGGGTGAGGTGAGACATCGGGAAGAAATCCCTCCCTGCCAGGGTGGGCAGGCCCTGGCACACCCTGGAAGTGGCCAAGGCCGGCTTGGAGCCACCTGCTCTAGTGGGAGGTGTCCCTGAGATGATCCTTCAAATCCTTCCCAGCCCAAACCATTCCACGAAGTATTTGTTGGTGCCACCACGCAGATTTTAAATGCCACCTGCAGTGAGGGTTGTTTTAATCCCATGGATGTTTTTGGGAGCTGGTGAGGGTTCCCTGACCTTATTCTAAGGCAGAGATCCCCCATTTCATAGAAGTTTTCATTTGCTCGAGATACTAAGAACAAATCCATGGAGAAATGTGGAGAAATTGGATTCCCATTGTATTCTGTGTGTGACAAAAGCCCATGTTTTATCCGGGAGCTTTTATGTCGAGCTCCTGATGTATATAAAAAAAATCACATTTATTGACCAGGATTTCTTTTTTTTCCCTGCTGAATTCAAGGAATATCCAGGTGTTTGTAACTCCAGTTCATCCCAGTCCCCGGAAGTTTAGGCCGTGCCGAAGGAAACCGCTCGGTCGTGAGGGCTAAGAGTGTTTTCCCAGCATTTTTAGGCTTTGTCCTGGCACAGATAGGAGGGTAGGAATCATTTTGGGCTGGGTTTTGGCTTTTTCAGTTCATGTTTAAAATAGGTGATGTTTGAGCCAGGTTATCATGGAATGGTTTGGGTCGAGAGGGATTTTAAGGCTCATCCAGTCCCACCCCCTGCCACGGGCAGGGACACCTTCCACTAGTCCAGATTGCTCCAAGCCTGGCCTTGGACACTTCCAGGGGTCACAGCAACTAAAAAAGCCTTGAATTAAAGAGAATTTCCCTGCCCAGAAGATTTCTCAGCCTTCAGTGTTTCAAACCCTGGAAAAGCCCAAACCATAAATCCTCGGGAAGACGCTCCGGGCTCTCCGGCCTCTCCCTCCGTGGGGGTTGATGTGTATTCAGCACATCCAGATCATTTGTTAACAAGGCCTTTCCCCCACTTCGGACAGATGCACTCCCTGTTTTCAATCTTCATGGTTAATTATTCGATTTGGGGTTGATGCAGGAACACCCTGACTCCTAATCACCGCTCATTGTTGGGAGTCCATTATCCCGGAACCGCCGGAGCGCTCCCGCTGACCTTGAACTGACATTATAAGCTGCTTTCTAATCTTTTTGCACTCGATATTTTTCTAATGCTCCTTTTTTTTTTTTTCTTTCTTTCTTTGTCCCTGCCTTTTGTCCACCCTGGCCCCCCTTTTTAGCATCACAATGGGGCTGCCCCTGAGCCCGGCGGCCGACTCGGCGCGCTCGGCGCGGCACGCGCTGTCCCTCATCGCCACCGCCCGCCCGCCCGCCTTCATCACCACCATCGCCAAGGAGGTGAGCGGGCACCTGCAGCCAGCCCTTCCACCCCAGGAGGTGTTGGGGTGCCCAGGGGCACCTGCAGCCAGCCCTTCCACCCCAGGAGGTGTTGGGGTGCCCAGGGGCACCTGCAGCCAGCCCTTCCATCCCAGGAG